GTCGGATTTTTCGGGTGGATTTCGGGGTTTTTGGGGCTGTTTCGGGGCAGATTTTTGGGGCGATTTTGGGTTTTTTGGGGTCGGATTTTCGTGGCCATTTGGGGTTTTTGGGGCCGTTTCGGGGCAGATTTTTGGGGCGATTTCGGGGTTTTTGGGGTCGGATTTTTGGGGTTTTTCAGGGCGGGGGCAGGGCCAGCAGGGGGGGCAGCAGCTCCTGGGGGTCCCCTCGCCCCCCGCCCGCCTCGGCCGAGTGTTTGCACTTCTCGGAGCCGCACTGGCACGGGAAATATTTGCTCTTGATGTCCCAAAATCGGTCCCCGTAGTCGAACCTGGAGGGGGGGGGGAGGGGCCAGGGGGTCACCCCCAAAATTCCAACCCCACCCCAAAACCTCCCCCCCATCCCCATCCCCCCCGGCCTCGGATTTGGGGTCGCCTGCGATGGGTGGGGGGTGGTTTGGGATGGGCTGGAATGTCCCAAAATGTCCCCAGAATTCCAAAAATGTCCCCCAGGATCCCCAAAATGGCTCCAGAGTTCCCAAAATGTCCCCCAGAATTCCCAAAATGGCCCCAGAGTCCCCAGAATGGCCCCACGGTCCCCAAAATGACCCCCAGGGTCCCCAAAATGGCCCCAGAGTCCCCAGAATGTCCCCCAGGATTCCCAAAATGTCCCCCAGGGTCCCCAAAATGTCCCCCAGGGTCCCCCAAAATCTCCCAAGGACCCCAAACGTGGCCACCAGAGCCCACCTAAATGTCCCCCTGAGTCCCCCAAAGTGCCCCCAAATCCCCCTAAATCCCCAGGGAAACCCCCAAAATCCTCTCTAAATCCTCCATAAAACCCCCCAAAACCCCATAAACACCCCGAAATCCTCTCTAAATCCCCTAAAAACACCTAAAAAACCCCAAAAATCCCGACCCCAGCTCCTCCCCGGGCCGGATGTGGCAGCTGCTGAAGAAGGCGATGAGGGGGGAGAACAAACCCCTAAGTACCCCCCAAAAACCCCCATAAAAACCCCCAAAAAACCCCGCAAACACCCCCTGAACACCCCAAAAACCCCATAAACACCCCAAAAAAGAACCCTAAATCCCCCTCAAACCCCTAAAAAACCCCAAAATCCCGACCCCAGCTCCTCTCCGGGCCGGGTGTGGCTGAAGGCGGCGATGCGGGGGAAGGACCCTCTAAGTACCCCCCAAAAAAACCCCCATAAAACCCCAAAAAACCCCATAAAAACCCCCCAAAACCCCGAAATTCTCTCTAAATCCCCCATAAACACCTAAAAAAGCCCCAAAATCCCCCAAAAATCCCGACCCCAGCTCCTCTCCGGGCCGGATGTGGCGATGCAGGGGAAGAAACCCCCAAAATACCCCCAAAACCCCCCATAAAAAACCCCAAAAAAACCCCATAAACACCCAAAAAAACCCCCAAAACCCCCATAAACACCCCAAAAAAACCCCAAAAAAACCCCCAAAATCCCGACCCCAGCTCCTCTCCGGGCCGGATGTGGCGGCTGCTGAAGAAGGCGATGCGGGGGAAGCGCAGGTCCTGGTGTAACATGAACACCCGCACGGGGATGATGTTGGGGTCGCACAGGTGGTTGATGAAGCGGCTGACGTTGCCATAGTAACGGGCGTCGATGCAGTAAACCTCGCCGTCCTGGCGCGACACAGCCGCCGTGGGGGAGGGGCCGGGCCCGGAGGCCCGCTTCCATCCCCGGTAATTCCCGGTAATTCCCGGTAATTCCCGGTAATTCCCGGTAATTCCCGGCATTCCC